CAACTTGATGTAAACTTTCACTTATGACCTCAATCTTCAGGCCACTGTCATAACACAGACACTGTAATCTAAACATGAGGGGTAACAAAAAATAGAAAATCTGGGCTCAAGAATACCCCCAGAGAGATGAGTACCTATAACAAAATTGAGCATTTTAACCTTGTCTGGCCTGTAGTCTATGTTTTCAGACATTAATAATCAGCTTTAAGATGTAATGGGGATGTTGCAAGACTAAAAAATTATTTTGGAATAATGCAATAAGATTCCCTTGTTCATACTGCACGTCCATCAAATCATAATTGAGTGAACTCTGATGAAAAACCATAATGTACCCTTCAATGTGCCGTCCATTGAGGTCTAACAAGTTAAACAAATAAGCTTCATAAAAAGACAAATAAATAAAACATTAAATTCCCTTGCGAAAATGCTTCAAATTTATGTATTTTACTACCAGTAAAACCTTTTCCCTGGTGGTCCTAAATGGCAAATTGTACCCCCTCCCAATATTTCAATTGAAAACATTTAACCCTTGAATGACCCCAATTTATTAAACACATTGGACTTACCTACTAAAAGGAAGATCATTTGCTGAGAAATAAATGGAAGAGGGTATTAATATTACAGATGTGAACTGTTGTACTGTACATACAGGTGTACCTTTAATATGTAAACATGCAGTTGTACATTGTACATACATGTAGATGCACATTAAAAGCCAGATGAATTTGATCGAAATCAGAACTTTGTTTTCATTCTAAGGCAATCACACACAAACAAAAACGTTAGAAGATGCGAAAATAGACAATCTAATGGTTTCAATTCATAAAAACCTCCTCTAAAAATTACCACAACAGGAGAATAATACCTGGCTTCTGGGTCACTTTTCTCTATTATTAAACAGTCTGTGTTGGCAGAAATAATGCCGGTGTATTTTACTGTGTATACTCCCGCCAAGTTTAAATCTAATATAAAAAAGTATTTGTGATAAAACATTGACTACAGCTGAGAGGTAAGCTGTGTCAGGTTGGATGCCATTATGAAACCAGTGGGACATCAAAGTACATGTGTGCATGTACATGTATGTCTCTACTGTGTAACTTGTAAGAAACTACTAGTTGCTACTAATCCATTATGATGCAGTTTGGATAACTGCTGTCAATGCTGCTACTAAGTATTATACAAAAATGATATCGAGTACTGGTTATTCAATTGGCTTGTGAAAAAAAGGTGTATAAGTTATTCTGAAATGATAATATACATATATTATATATTGACCAAATCTTACAGTTCTAAAATACATGGGACACATGGAGATATACATACACGCAAATAGGCCTATGCTATGGGACTGCACAAACATTTGTGATAGACAATGGTCCAAAGTTTGTCTTGTTATATTCAAGATAAAAAAGTATATGTTAGCCTACTTCAAAACCTATCTTTCAAATGGGACATTGCTACTATGAGTATTTTTCCACAAAGGAATAATAAGAACAAGAATAAGAAAGCTCACAATATGTTTTCTCCTCCATCAAAACTAAACCTTTCTCTGTAAGTGTCAGGCTATCAGCCACCAATCATACATCTACACTGTAAATGTCAAAATAAGGACACACTGTTCAAACGTCCTAATTAGATTAGAATTAGCAAAGTTAATATGTCTGCATACCCCTCTACTTACTCCCCATAACCTCATGAAAATGAGAAACTGATATTCAACAATTTCCCCTTATTTTGTCTTGTTACTGTATTTCAATAATTTAACAATTATTTTTAATTAACAGCGTGGGACAGATAAATCTTAAGTTTCCACTGAGATAATTATAGTTTACAGAGTGCCTATATATCAGAATTAGCCTCAAAAGTGTGATTAAATTACAGGTCAAGTATTTAAGCCTTAAATGTCAAGTCCTTGTACTTGATTTATGGTTCATTGACATTTTCTCTATTCCAGGGCATGCAGAATTGGTGGAAATAAGAGTGGGATTTAGAATACCACATCCTAAACAAAGACCACAGCAAAGCAAAAGAGGTTTCACACCTTCCTTTGTTTGCCACTATCAGTGAAAAACACCAGATCTATTCTACAAGTACAGACTCGGTTGATTTTCACAATTAGACAAAAATGCCCTGCCTCTAAGTACGTGTGTACAACCTTGTAAAACAGCTAAAACCAGAAGAAACACAGTCTAAATAATCAAATAAGACTTGAACTTAGTCTGAACCATATTATCAATAGTTGCCAGGAGTTGGGGTGGGCCAGGGCCTAGAGTGCATTTCTATGGTGGCCCTGAAGGGACATCGCGAATAGACTAAATCGTGAAAAATATGCGATAAAATTCACGATATCGTCAATTTTATCGCATATTTTTCACGAAGAAATTAACGAAATTGACGATATCGTGAACTTTATCGTGAACTTTTCACGATGAAATTGACGATATCGTGAATTTTATCGTGAAAAGTTCACGATATAAAGTTCACGATATCGTCAATTTTATCGTGTACTATATCGTGTACTCTATCGTGTACTCTCCTGACGGGCGCTTCGTAAACAAAACCAGCCCTAGCTGGGGGAGACAGAGAGAAGGAAAAAAGGGAAAGGGAAAGAGAAGATAAAAGGAAAGAAAGAATAATAAGAAGAAAAGAGGAAAACGGGGGGGGGGGGCGAAGGGCTCTTGCCTCCTCCTCACTTCCCCCCCCCCGCCAAAAAATAAATAAGGAGAGAGAGAGAAGGGAAAGGGAAAGGGAAAGAAAATATAAAAGGAAAGAAAGAAGAGGAAGAAGGAAAGAGGGAAACGGGGGAAGGGCGAAAGGCTCTTACCTCCCCCCCCCCCCCCCCCCGCCAAAAAAATAAATAAGAGAGAGAGAGAGAGAGAGAGAAGGGAAAGGGAAAGAAAGAAGAGGAATAAGAGGGAAACAGGGGAAGGGCGAAGGGCTCTTGCCTCCTCCCCCCCCCCCCCCGCCAAAAATAAATAAGAGAGAGAAGGGAAAGGGAAAGAAAATATAAAAGGAAAGAAAGAAGAGGAATAAGAAGGAAAGAGGGAAACGGGGGAAGGGCGAAGGGCTCTTGCCTCCTCCCTCCCCACCCCCCGCCAAAAAATAAATAAGAGATAGAGAGAGAAGGGAAAGGGAAAGGGAAAGAGAAGATAAAAGGAAAGAAAGAAGAGGAAGAAGAAGAAGAAAAGAGGGAAACGGGGGCGAAGGGCTCTTGCATCCCCCCGCCCAAAAAATAAATAAGAGAGAGAGAGAGAGAAGGGAAAGGGAAAGAGAATAAAAAAGGAAAGGAAGAAGAATAAGAAGAAAAGAGGGGCTCTTGCCTCCTCCCCCCCCCTCCCGCGCCAACAAATAAATAGGAGAGAGAGAGAGAGAGAGAGAAGGGAAAGGGAAAGGGAAAGAAAATATAAAAGGAAAGAAAGAAGAAGAAGACGGAAAGAGGGAAACGGGGGAAGGGCGAAAGGCTCTTACCTCCCCCTCCCCCCTCCCGCCATAAAGGGAAAGAGAAGGGAGAGGGAAAGAAAATATAAAAGGAAAGAAAGAAGAGGAAAAAGAATAAGAAAAGAGGGAAACAGGGGCGAAGGGCTCTTGCCTCCTTTCTTTTCTTTCTTTTCCTTTCTTTCCTATTCTCCCTCTTTTTCGTTTTTCTCTTTCTTTCTTCTCTTTCCCTTTCCTTCTCTCTCTCTCTCTCTTATTTATTTTTTGGCGGGGGGCGGGGGGACGAGGCAAAAGCCCTTTGCCCCCGTTTCCCTCTTTTCTTCTTCTTCCTCTTCTTTCTTTCCTTTTATCTTCTCTTTCCCTTTCCCTTTCCCTTCTCTCTCTCTCTCTGATTTATTTTTTGGCGGGGGGGGGGAGGGGGGGCAAGAGTCCTTCGCTCTTCCCCCGTTTTCCTCTTTTCTTCTTCTTCCTCTTCTTTCTTTCCTTTTATCTTCTCTTTCCCTTTCCCTTTCCCTTCTCTCTCTCTCTCTGATTTATTTTTTGGCGGGGAGGGGGGGGGGGGAGTGAGGAGGAGGCAAGAGCCCTTCGCCCCCCCATGTTTTCCTCTTTTCTTCTTATTATTCTTTCTTTCCTTTTATCTTCTCTTTCCCTTTCCCTTTTTTCCTTCTCTCTGTCTCCCCCAGCTAGGGCTGGTTTTGTTTACGAAGCGCCCGTCAGGAGAGTACACGATAGAGTACACGATAGAGTACACGATAAAATTGACGATATCGTGAACTTTTCACGATAAAATTCACGATATCGTCAATTTCATCGTGAAAAGTTCACGATAAAGTTCACGATATCGTCAATTTCGTGAATTTCTTCGTGAAAAATATGCGATAAAATTGACGATATCGTGAATTTTATCGCATATTTTTCACGATTTAGTCTATTCGCGATGTCCCTTCAGGGCCACCATACATTTCAATTTCTTTTGGAGAAAGAAAGAAATTTACAATCTGTCTAAAATAACCATGAGACATGAGAACCTTGTTTACAGGTCCACTGCAAATGACACTGTCAACTCCGGTAGTAAAATACACTTGAGTAAGAGGAGTAATGCTCCAGCCAATCCTTTTTACATCCAGATGAGATGTTTATGGACAGACAAATTTGAAGAAGCAGAGATATAAAAAGTCCATCCATAAAAACACATTTCCCAGGGCGATCCTTAGCAGTCATTTTTCAAGGATGGCATTGAAAGTTATATTACAAGCATATACACTGTAAGAAATCAAATTACTAATAAATAGCTTCTGAAGCAGTAAACCACAGCATACATACAGCACAGTAAAGAGTGATAGAACACATCTTCATACTGTGTCTAAGGCATCAATATATCAATAATTAGGTGCAGATAGATGCCCACACAATACTTGAAGAACTTGAAGCCTGTGTATTTAAGTCTTTAAATTTAAAAGTGGCAGTGTAGCCTTATATCATTAAAAATTAAAATTCAGATGGTCTGATAAAGTTTAATTTACATACCAGTACATGTACAGTACCTATGTCATTTGTTTTCTTACCTCTATTAGTGTTTGCCTCAGATTCACAATCAGACTATCACCGGTACAGTTTTAACAGCATCCTGTGTTATCTAAAAAGATATCAAAACAAAATCAAATGTTATTGCAGCTTTCCAAACATAATATCTTCAAAATGTCTTTTTTGAATAAAAACACAAAAATAAAGAAACCCACATCTATTTTACCAACTGATATTGTTCTATCTAAATCTAAAACTGTAATGCAGGTGTGATGAGTCATTGAGTCTTAAAATGCTAAGAAGTAAATCCTTATCTTCTGATTTGTTTTCAGTAATTATGCAATAATGCTACCTCTTCAAAATAAATTTCCTTCTAATCTGCAACTTACACATGTACATGTAGCAGAAATGCTAAGAACACTGCATTACACTGTACCATATGCATAATGCATGAAGAGCTTGAAGGCAATCAGTTTTCAAAGCGACTTATCCTTGATTGATATTCATGAAAATATCAGATTAGGTATATCATATGGCCCAGTTCCTAGGTAGTTTATTGATGATGATGAGTCATACTGTATCTGGAGGCATTCATACAAAACTGAAATGTACATGCATTAGCTGTTAAGAGACCAAGCATATTTTCTTTGACAGTTTGAAGGAACTACAAACTATTTTGCTCCACAATTTCAGGAATATATTTTCTGCATTTTAAGAGATTGATTAGTAAATCAACTGTTTTAATGATTATGTAATGAAATACATGTAAGGTACATTTGTTGTTTATTGAATACATTTGAATGAGTGAATGAATGCTAATATTGTACAGCAAAGAGATTCATTTCTTGCAGTTTTAGTAAGCAAGGAAATCCCTTTAAAATCCTAGGGTTCAAACGATATCAGGAAATACATCCCTATTCTCTAGAATATTGATCATGATGCTCTTCACATTACAATGAACCACAAAACCAAAGACTGAAGCCATCGCTTTAGACATGCAATCTGTTACAAACTACACAGTGAAGTACATTTTGTACATATGTACATGTAATACATGAAATGGGGAAGAGGCTACGAGGGGGAAGAGGGGGGGGGGATACTGTAGCTGATTGAGCTTGGAGATCTGTTAAATGTAGAATTGTAGAAATGTAGATCTTGGTGATCACATAAATCAGAATTATATAATTCTGAATACCTCCATCAATAAGTTTCACTTATTCATTTTCTCACATCCGCTTAAACAGTACAGAAACATGTTCTAGAAGGTGTCATACATGTAACTGCTTTACTGTGTAGCCAATACAATAAATTGAAAGTGAAAGACTGAAAGCACTACATGTATATGTATAATACTATAATGTAAACAAATCAATGCATCTAGTACTTTTCATCAAACGTGCACAAGGAAACAAGGAAATTCTAAATTCATATTCCGGTAGCCTTGGATTGATATCCATGTGCATGTATCCTATATCCTGGTACACACTACACACGTCCAATATAAATGGAGAAATAAGGCACTCATCACAAAATTAATTTTAAAATGTTACATTGTTGCTTCATTCCTCACCCACCTACCTGTACAGCCAGAACACCTGCTACCAACATGTACACATACGTACACTGTACAGGTGTATCTCTTCATCCATCAATACTCATTTAGTGATAAGATGCACTGATCAGTGGTATAAACATGGAGATATCCGTACATACAGTGTCAGTGGTATAAGCCACAGAATGCTCCAATTACATCCACTGTTCTAGATCATGATGTAGATGAAACATGGAGAGATCATTAATACCCAAACACTCTTCCAGTCACACAGAGATGCGTTTCCATCCAGGATCTGAGCTACATGTAATGAGGAGAGAGCATCAAGGGATAGATTCTTCTCTAATGAGTCATCACCAGGCGTACGTATCACAACCAACCTCATCTACTGGCTTCTACCGATACATGTACCTATCAGCCACCGTATGATTAATACATATTCACTCATTCTTCCTCTTCTTTTGTGTGAATGCATCAGCAAAGTCATTCATATTTCTCTCTTGGCTTTGGACAGATGTTTGGGTCTAAGAGCATTTAATATATGTTCTACTGGTCTATGACTAATATGCCATTATTAATATTGATATGACAGGATGGAGGGTACTGAAACATGTTAGCATTACAGTGATTCCTTATTTTGCATTGTTACACTATTGTTACAGTCTATATCCCAAAAGGCTATTATTTTGGGATAAATATTTAAAATTTGCCTCATGCATGAATACATGAATAGTTGAATACAGTTGTATACATGTACATGTATTATGCAGATTACATAATACTTGTAAAACTTGATTACAGCAATCATTTGTCTGTTTTGCTTTTTTGCGGACACCATACATGTAGGCAGCAAGCCAGCTTTGGGCTTTCGGGATGCGAGGATTGAGGTTGCTTTGGCGATGGCTGGTAAGTTGGTTGGTAAGTTGGTTGGTAACTTCATGTCAACAATATAACACAAAATTGTTGGTAAGACATGTGTTATTCTAGAAATGTCCAGTACCATTCATTGTAGTCCCATAAGTACGAATTCATGCTGTTTTCATGGTTTTGACTTGTGATTTTTTACTCTTGTGGCACATTGGCCGCACCCAGGCTTTTTGATATTTTCTCTTCCAAAAATACTGCAGCCTTTAGCCGGCAAATATGGTAATTGACATTTCTAAACAAATACAGTTTAAGTGACATGTCATACATGAATTTCAGGAATACCTAGGCATTCTTACTATGATACCTGTTAATCTCACAATGGTCCAATCAGTGAGTTGGAAGATTGCAAGGACAAGGTTGAACTCAGAACTTTATTCAAATCCACATTTTGGGCATTACAATCTAAATAACCTCTCACGCTCTGTACAAAATGTAGCAGGACCGCATGAGAATAGAGAGAGCGAGAGAGAGAGAGAGCGAGAGAGAGAGAGAGAGAGAGAGAGAGAGAGAATAGAGGAATATGTATGTATATGTAATCATGCATATGCATAACTAATATACATTGTACATGTAAATTGAAAGGAATAAATGCTATTCATGTATCCTTGGAATGAAATCATTTCCATAAAGTGAAGGGTCCTGGTAATGGATAAATAAGTTACGTGTGAGCTATCTCATACTTGTATTCCCATGGCGAAGATCATCATAGAACCATACCAACATAAGATATATCATTGCCCTTGAAGTACAGTACAGTGTAGCATTTGTACATGTAGTTTGTCCCTTGAACCTAGGGAACTGGTCCTCAATACATAGTCCCACATACATGTACATGTACATGTACTTGTATGTGAATACAGTGCATGTAAATGCTACAAGTGATATTAATCAAAAATGTAATTACGATCATCGTCCAAATTCTGATGGATCTAAAGCATTATAATACACAACTGTTTTTAATGTCCTTTACATTTAATCTTTAAAAATAGTATCTTTACATATTGTTCTTAAAAATATATTTCAACCACACAGCAAACCAACTTTAAGTTTAGAGGAACAGGAGTATCACACAGTCATGAAATGAGACAAACAGTTTTAAGCTTAGAGGCCGGAACAGGAGTTTTACATAGTCATGAAATGAGACAGTCTTTAATATTCATTCTAGACCTATTGCTTCTAGCCTGACATTGATAGGTGTCTATGTGAAACCCTACCAGTCAGCATGACATTTCAAATCAGTCTCCTTCTGTAATCTTCATTCAACAATACACATGTCTTACACCCTACAGTAGTACATGTAGAGGTTACTATTAATTAGAACTCTGTAAGTGTGGTAATGAATTGGTTCATCATATTGAACATGGCTCACAGGCACAGGGTATATGTCAGGGAAATCTTTTGACAAGCCACATACTTGCATGTACAGGATTTATAGGCAGATACATATCGTATTTCAGTTAGCAGTGCAAATGTGCAATCCCAACGATGTAGGAAAACAGGCTACTGAAATACATTTGACATATATATTCAGGATGCCAGAGTCTTGATTTCAGAATGGTAAGATTTGTCTAAAAACACATTTGACACTTGGGTCCAATCAGGATCATCAAGTAAACGCATAATATCACTGTACTGGAAAACAATACTAATACACTGACTCTAGCACATACATACATACTGTACATGTACAGTCAGTAGCACTTTGTCTGGGCCCTCTTCTCAATCTAACACCCCTTTTATACTGAAAATTAAAAGCAACCTGGATATTTGGGTCTAGAAAATTATCCTCTCCCCTCTCTCTCCCCTTCCCTGCCCCTCCTCCTCTCCTCTCTCACCCCTCCCTCCTCCTTTCCTCCTACCTCCTCCTCTTGTAGATTCAAAAGGTTTAAGTTCAATAGTGACAAGAAGTGGCCCACCCACCATTTCATTTTATTTCAGTTGTCAGAACACATCTATAACTCTTTGACAATCAAAACTACATGAAAGTATACAAACAGCAATATACAGGGTGTAAAGTACTTTTATCCACCCACCTTCCCTTGAATAGATTCAATAATTAAAAAAGACAAAACGTGGGCATGGGTAGTCTATACAGACTTTCATTTTCACACTTACACATAGTACATTGTATGTCAGTGTCTAAAAATAATCCATTACATGATTTACAGCTAATTATGCAGTACACCCTGCCTGAAGTTAATACTACATGTATTTCCAAATAAGAAGCTCATTAAGGCTGCATTTCAATGAAATGTAAATCATTGGTTTCATGGTTTCACTTTCTACATATATTCGTCTAGAGAGTTCATTGAAAGGCTTTACAGGATATCTTGAGGCATTATCATACCCACCCTAATCATAAAAAAATACCCATATATAGAGCAAGTACTCATTCATATCCTGAGCTTGAAGGAGATGTGAAATATAATTTCTGTTTACAAACTACCACTTAAACTTTGGAATGTATAGCAAATTTTTCATTTTTTTCTCAACAGCTTATAAAATAGGAAAATTTGAATTTTAGAAATTAAAAAAAAATGTTGTAAAATAAAATTCAATTCAGTTGCATATTGTTTTTGTAATGAATTTGGGTTTCATTGAACAATAATTCAATTTTACATGTAATCAGAGCT